ATCAGTTCTTGCAGAGACTTAGGTCTCCCTTCTTTGAAAGTATGACAAGATGAATCTTCTCCCAGTCAAGTGGCAGGTACCTCTCCTACCTTCCGTCCAAACCTTCTGCAGTAGTAGTGTGAGCATGTGTGCTGCTGATGTCTCTGCGTCTGTTTTCATTGCTTCTGGAGGAATTCCATCTGGTCCTGCTGCCTTCCCAGATTTCAGCAACTTTATGACCTGGCGTTCACGACTTCACTTCTCATACTGCCTGCCAGAGACTTTGTATTCACTAATAGTCCTGTGGCTGGTCTGCTGGTGGAAAATCTGGACGAGTTGCAGCTGGTGGTGCTGGTGGTGTTGGTGGTGGATTCAAGAGTTTTCTGAAGTGGTCAGCACATCGTTTCCTTTGTTACGCCTCTCCGATCACAACTACGTTTCCTTCACTATCTTTCATTGGTCTCGTCTGAGTTGATCTCTTCCCCCCAGATTGTAACCTGGTTATTTGGTATAATGTTGTCAGGTCCCTCCTACCAGCACCTATTCCGCCTCACTCGTCAATGTGTCACAGAAGTGTTTTTTGTCTTTGTCCTCACTTCTTTGTCCAGTGTAGTGTTTTATGGGTTGTATTCAGTTCATCTTTTCATTGTTCATCCCGACACTGCACCGCACTGCACAGCACTGGTTCATCTTCTGTTTCACCATCTTCCTCTCCATACTCTATCAGCTTCCATGTGCCCGTCGAAATCCATCCATTCCCTGTCTTGCTTCTTCTTCCTTCCTAACTGGGTTACACAGGTTTCCTTCCACATCTCTTTCAAAGAGTTCCAGTGTTCTTCCACACAGGTTCCGTCAGCGTTGCTGCTTAATGTCTCGCATTTCATCGTGATGACTGACAACGTGAGGATGTATGTCATTTGTAGTTCCGTCCTTCAGTTCAGTTCACTTTCTGTTATGGGTGGTTGTTCACCCTGAACTGTGGCCGTCTATCACCAATCTCTGTGATGACTTCCAACTTGATTTTGAAGGTAGGTTCATTGCACTGGATAGTGAGTGGTGTGAACCACCTTCATCTGCTCCCCTTCTCGAACTGATCTTGTGTCGAGTAGGCTGGCTGCGTCTCCACTTTCTTCACACTTGAGATCAAGTCGATCTGATTGTTAGTGTAGTGTTTCCTGGTGTCTGGTGAAATCAACTCCATGTCGCTCGCTGCCTTGTGAATATCCTTGTATTTGTACACACTGCCTAGCCTCCAATCACCAAATCGTTGAATGCGCCGAATTCTGCAAACACTTCTCCATTCCCATCCATTTCACAAACGAGTGCTTCCCTTCCGATGATGAGTTCTCTTTCTGTGTTGTCTGCTCCCAGTTTGGCATTAAAACATGTCACCCCACCCATTAGAATTTTGATGTCGCCATTTCCAGTGGTGTCTTGCCCACTATCGAGTCCTCCTTGTTGTCTTCATCTGCATTATTTGTAGGTGCGTAGCCTAGCATTGTCTGATTGTGACTTCCCTCCCTTTTGAGTTACATCTTGCCGGCATGATCCTGATGCTGATTGTTGAGGAGATTGGTTCCCACTACATGAGAGCCTTCGATGCACTTGAGGACATCACGATAGCCACTCGAAAACTCAGTGTGTCCGTGGTCGTCGTCTGTGTGACAATTTCCGAGTAGATTATTGACTCTCCAGTTGACAGTGTGGACAGTCCACTTCCATTCCATCTGCATATTCCTCACAGACTTCTAGCACTTCCATGCCATATCTTCTCATCTCTTCTGCAATCTGGACAGTCTCGCTAGGTTCATACATGTTGTGGATATTCCATGTTTGCTTGCATTCTTACTCTCGCTTTCATCGAGAGAATTGAAGACACATCGGCCGATTGGCTTCCTGAAGGCTTTCACCAACTTGCGTCTGTTCGATTCCAGCGAGGAATAAGTTTGTTTTTATCTTTTGCATTTTCTTTGCTCTTTGAAATTTGCTTAGTGATTGGATTTTTTTCTGAGGTAGGGTTGCTAGCCGTATATCCAACGTTCTCTCTTTATCCGGGTTTAGGCATGGCTAGTAACTAGTGGACTAGTGAACTAGGCGAGGTTTATGTGATATGAGAGTGGACAATAATTTATGTCCGAAACTTTATCTAGTTAGTAATACTGTTGTACTGTGACAAATTTAATTCAGAGAGTAAAACTGAAAGCTGCCAGTTGTTCGTTTAATTTTCAAGTATCTGTTATTCTCTCAGTTAGCGCTCTCAGTTCTCTCACTAGTTAAGTTTCAACTTAGAAGAGACGTCTCATGATATGAATCTGTTCCTATTGACCGGGTCTCTGTATGCATAAAAGCATAGTTCACAAGTTTTAATGCTCAGTCCACCTACATGCATTTCAATTTGTACACTGCTTAGTACTCTCATAAAAGATATGCACTGACTTGTTATTTTCAGCAACAGCTCGATTCTTGAGCATTCGGTCAACTCTGGCCACCTGGCACCACAACAGTCTTCCTTCAATGTCATTTATAAACGAGAATCAAACATTTTGAGAGCAGTGCGTATCCCCGTCCTCAACAAAGCAGGAACATCACCAATCCAACTGTACAACTATGGTCTTTGGGTTCGAAAGTGATACACTCAGTTTCCAGTTTTAACTTGTTCGTAGTTTCCATGAGGGATTTGACTCATTTCTTTGTTTACTGGTTGTTCAATTATAGTAGTCCTTCGAGTAATTTTGATGGCCTTGAGTTGACTTTCTGGGCATTATTCCCTTGTGACTTTTTTGACAATTTTGATGACTTTGTTTTGACCCGCTAACAACTGATGGATTGATGGATTTGTATTATGTTGTAAGTAGGATAAGGATTGTTCATTTATTGGAAATGATTCGTCGGAAGGAAACGTTTTTCCACTGAATTTTCTTTTGGTAATTTTCATAATCTGGCGGAACTGTTCACCATTTTTATAAACTATGCAGAGGGCTTCAGTATTGTTTCCATCACAAACTGACATTTGTCTGAGAACCATCGATAACATGTGAGCACTTTACAGTTGTCAGTTCAAGATGAAAACTGTCTTGAAATTATTCAGTCCACACTAACCGCCAAGTGGATGAAATAGATCTTATGATGAGAGCTGTTCATGCACTTGACATATTCATTACGAAGTTGTACACCTCTCTGATCGTAGTTGGCTTTGCGTTGTTTGTGTAAGGGTAGTCGCATATCGTTTTCACTGTTATTGCATCTTTTTTGCGTACTGATGGGGTACCTTTTGACATTGTATTTTTGTAATTTTTCCAATAAAGCAAAGCGCGTAATAACAGTTTGTTTCATAATTTAAATTGATGAGGCAAATATAAATATGAAACCACATACTTCGACATGTTTTGAGTTCCATTTTAGTCTGTTGATTAGATTTGTACTACAGGGAATTAGTATTTTCTACCAGATGATCTTGCGGTCATGATTTACTGTCCATATTCATATGAGATAAATAGAAAACTTTGAGACATGATCTATGTAGTTCGAATCTTCTCTCCTTCTTTGTGATTAGGGTAGTAGTATTTCCAGTTATTTTGTACAGATACAGAATCATCTCTATTACCTGTATTTGGTGTCGATTCGATAAACATTGGTTCAATAATCTAGTAATCTGTCCCTCTACTCAACTAGGTTAGTTTTTAATACTGCCACTCTATCCCACCCGTTTGTGTGGCGGACTACAGTTGAGAGTATACCTATAGCGCAGCATCTCTCTAAATTTGTCACCTCATTGGGATCCATCAATCTTGATTCAACTGATCTTTTTTGTGCCTTTTATTGTAACTGACCCCGGTCGACTACTGTGATCGGTGTATTTCACCTTGCACTCATTGCAGTGGATTTGGTAAACTAGATTTTTTGACCTAGTTGTGTGCATGGGATCTTGTAATGTACAAATTTGTTTTGACCTAGTTTGTTGGTTTAGATCCTAGTTTTATCACAGTATTATTGATGAATCTTCGTAGTGCTTCAGAGCTGGCTTCTTTGTCTGTAACACAGGGAAGACTTTCCTTTGTCTTAGTAGGAATTTCCGCGATGTGCTTGTTTTTGAAAATAAACGTCTTGATATCTCGATGTTATAGCTGGTTATGTACGCATTTACATGATCTCTTCACCTACTTTCAATCACTATCTTTACGCGTTTGCCTATACTAATGAGGTCTAATCCATCGACGCATCCGGATTATCACTAAATTGTGAGCTGTACGCTTTCGCATAACGTATTTGTGTTTAGCAAGTGAATATATACTTCTCTTGTGCTTGTCGACACTTAAAAGCATGACTAGCTATTTCGCTTAAGGGAAAGCTTTTTTTGCCAGAGGTAGGAATCCATCTTTTTGGATGCATGTAATCTGTCATTAAAGTAAGTTAACTCTAGTCATACGCTTGTCATCAACTAGCAGAAATTTAATTTGGTGGTTTGGGGGAATCACTGATTTTTCAAGTTGATATTCATCATCAGATCTAGTGCTAATTGGTGACTAGCTTGAAAAGGCTATTTTTGGAGTTCCAGTGAGAAGTTGAAACCGGTGGGATAAACCTAGTGGCCGTGAGGACAAATACTCAAAGATGACATTGAGTGATGTTTGCACTAGGTTGTGAACCAACAGGAGTTAGGAATATGGACCACTGGATTATGACCCAGTGGCGCAGTGGCAACGTGCTGGCCACGAAACCTGAAGGTCTGTTTCCTTGGTAGGGTAAGGAGTGCTCACTGCTGAAGAGTCCTATACCAGGAAAAAACAGCTGTACAGAGCTCCTAGGTTTCCAATGTTCCTCCAAATGATGTCAGTCCATAATGAAAACCAAGTTCTAAAATTAACAGAAAAATTGAAGAATTTACCAGTATTTATGCTACTACATATCATATATCGTCGATGACACGTATCGATATAAACTTTCAATACAATTTCTGGTGATTATGGTAAAATGTTCGCAGTATATATATACATATATTACGTTTTTTGGTTTTTTCATAGATCTGTGCGCTACTTTATCTCAGAAAAACTCATTTTTGGAGTAATTCTTCTTGGCTCTATGAAAGCTACATATTCTGAAAACCTTTTAGAACCTTTTCGTGTACGTATTGAAGAATGTTCAACAGAAACTATTGCAGTAGGTGAAAACTTAGCATATTGTTTATCCTGTGTTCAAAATGTTAAAGAAGACTGCAACAAATTCTGTACATCCTTAATACAAAGTCAAGATACTTGCAGTCGCTCTTGTTGGGGATTTGCTAAGTATGGAACATTCTCTTGTAAAAGCAATGTTGGATAGCATCCCATGGGTTAGAAAAACGCTTGAATGGAATCTAAAGCACTTTATTTGACTGAATTCCAAAAAGTCGAAACATCATTCAATGATTAATTGATTGAATTCTAAACAAATGTACAAACAGTTTAGAAGAAAAATGCCACCACAGTGACCATTCATAACTCTACCTAACATAAAAATACTTCTTTAATGATGGAGACAAAAATTTATTCTTGAATAAACTTTAAATAAAATCACCATAACGTAACAAGTGCTTTTTTTTCATTTTCCAGTTAATTCACTAGACGCTTACTGAGAATTAGTAGTTACAATTTTATAATACAGATAACTGACTTTTATTTTCAGATGATAAGAGAGTTTATCATCTAACCTAATATTATCGATTTTTGAGGTGATCAGACTCTTAAAACAGGGTCTAAAAATTGATGCTTTTTATTCTAGTTTCTCACTGCAAAGCAACGTGACCGGGCTAATTTAAAAGAGACAAAAAGCGACTGAGTGGTGTATACTTTTAACCTTGGTTAACGTGAAGGACCGATAATGAGTTACTAAAATTGCAAAACTGACTTCTCAGAAACCTCTTAAAAAGCTGCCTTATTAGGAACCCGTACTTCAGTACTTTCCAAATGCTAGTCTTAAATCACCAGCGCCCAACACTGGCTGTATTTCTCGACCTGAAGGTGGCATTTGACTATGTCGATCGAAAAGTCTTATGGCAATATCTCTCACTGAAAGGCGAGCTGGCTAAGTACATCACCTTATTGAAGGCTGTCTACTAGGACACTTGTGGGCATGTTAGAGCCCATGGTGAGATGTCCAGTGTGCTATGCTCATCGAGTGATGCCCGTCAAGGATGCCCACTCTCTCCATCCTTATTCAACTTTATCATACATATTCTTATGAAGGTTTCCCTGATTACACAGACCTTTATCTGATCGCAGGAGAATTTTTGTTAGACCTAGAATATACAGATGACATTGTCCTATCAGGCGAAGATACTGACAAGATGCAGTCTTCTGAACACTGAGTAGCGATACGAGAATGTTTGGGATGCATTTTTCACCACCCAATCCAAATTGTTGCTTCAGGATTGGTCTTTAACGGTGCCTTGGTTAACAACAGAGAGTGTAGTGGTTGAGTACGTCGACCATTTCACTTACCTGGAAAGTAGGATCAGCCCTGGTGGCTCAGTGGCCGGTGTAATCTCTGCAAGGATACAAAAGGCTCGATTGGCTTTCGCCAACTTACGCCACCTATGGCGCCGCCATGATATCCGTTTTTTTATTCAGAGTCGCGTGTACTGGACCTGTACAGCAGTCCTGTCTGTTCCACTCTATGGCTGTGAAACATGGCCATTGAAGGTGGAAGATATGAGAAGGCTTCGAGTGTTTGACCACCGGTGTCTTCGTAGTATAGACCGCCGTATTCCGTGGTATCACCACTTGAGTAACGTAGAAGTCAGGAGTAGAGTTTCAGGGAGAAGAGGTAAGTCGGTTGACGAGGTTATGAACCTTCATCGACTGAGATGGTTAGGACACGTGTTACGCATACTTAGTTACCGATTGCCTCATCACACAATGTTGGCTGAAGTAGGTCCAGGCTGGAAAAAGGCTCGAGGTGGCCAGACTAAAACATGACACCAATGTATGAAGTATCTGACTGTTGGTTTGAGCCATGTGGGGCGATGCAGACTAGGTGGTTGGGGTCGGTGGGACAAGAGGAACCAGTGGTTGGAGACTCTAGGTGATATGACTGAGAACCGATATCCGTGGTGCAGATGTATACACACATTATCCTCATCTTAACGACGCTATACCGAATCCCACCATTTTCTCATTCTTCCTTTCTATCTCTTAATACTTTATATTTCTTTTGACTGCATTCTGTTATCTTCATCTTGCACCTCATTGCCTTTCTATCTGATGTGCTGATATGAGCTGTGGCAACTCAAACCGTTACGCAGTAATGCCTGGTCCTAAGTTGATCCCCATAGTCTCAAATCGGTATGAAACAGTTTTTCAATCCTTCCTTTAGATCAGCAGTTATTCTAGTCGCTTCTGTCTACCGTAGTGTATTATAACTGTTTCTTGATCCCCTACAAAAACAAGTTGAAGCTGTAAGTTTTCGGATGTAATGGATGACATATTTTGGCTTTGGTCGACTACGTTTGTACTATTATCAATGAACTGTGGTTCTTAGTTTCCAGCTGAAATGCACCAAAACATGCTGATTGCTGTAAAACCATGAAAAATGTCACTACTTGTATCTAATTAACAATGATCACTTAAATTCTGTTAGGCTACACACTATCACCGTATTCTTTCCGAGTCCTAGACTAATCTCCATTATGGAGGACCGCCGAAAACAGGCCTATCCAATACACTCAGATTTCGCTTTGGTATCTTATTCACACTAAGATGGGCCCATAATTCCTAAATCTATATTACTTTTCAGCTCGCGTTTTGAGCTGAATTGCTGTTGATAAAATATGTGTGATACATTAGTAAGCAGAATGTATTCCTGGGGAGATTCATAAAGTGGTTAGCATCACTATCCTCTATTCGTCTATTTCAAATTAACACTACTGAAGAACCTAACAGTTCCAGCTCTTATTGGTGGTACAAATCTTTACTGCGTTTCCAAATCATGGTTTAGATTAGGACTTAAGTACTCACTAGGCGTAGGGACCGAATCAGTTAGTTGTATAAATAAAGTACTAGTCGAGACTTTGACTAGAGGCTTAGTCCATAACTTGGTGAAGGCAGATTAGGAGTTGGAACCTAGGATCATAGGTAACCAAATTGTTTCCACGCATAAATTTGTCCCTTCTAAATTCGTGAAAATTGATATGAGTTAGTGACTTAAGATCCTATCAAATATCTCTTAAACAGTAGTATTCATTGTACATTGTCTTTTTGAAAATATCAGTGTTTTATTGATTTTAATTGTGTTCTTAGCGGTGAGATTAAATGGTTTGGCAAATTATGATGAAAAATGTCATTTTTGCTTTTACTGATGTAGGAATTGGTGATGAACAACCACTATTCAAGTCTAACATAGCATCGTGCACTCATTTATCAAGGTTTGCTTATACTTACTTTTTCTTTTCTATTCAAGGATCCAGTGACTTTGCAAACTAAAATTTCTGCAGTAGACAATGTTTATGTCAGGCTATTAGTTAGGTCAAGGTACTCTAACAGAATCCACAGAATTCCTTTTACTCACACATACAAAAGTTTCTAGTCATTTAACTAGAAAAGAAAAACGAAATCAACAGTATCAAGCAGACATTGTTGAATAACCACCCTCTTAAGTAAACGTGGGTTGCAAAGAAATGACATTTCAATGTTATCAGAGGCTGTCTTCCTTTATTAGCATTTGTGTTGAAAGAATTCAAGTGTCATTTCAGAGAAATAACACGTGATAAAAATTGATCGAAAATGAGTGAAAGCTGCAAATATGTGCAATAAGAGATTAATAATGTGTACAAGTAATTATAATATTGCCAAAATGTCTTAGTAACAATGACGTACAAAACTGAAGGAAGCGTTTCCCCAGTTGACGAAAGTTTCTTTAAACTGAGATCAAGAATATGACAGAACTTGTGACTATCAAGCATAAGATGTTTGTAAACTAAAAGAAGAGTTCTTCAAACGGTTTCCAATAATTCCTGTCGGAATTACTTTGTTGACTGTTAGAAGGAACTGACAGTTTACCTACCGACAGTGATATCAAGTCATAAATATCCAGCGACGATTGTACAGCATGATTTGTTAAGATACCACGTAAATATACTACTGGAGTTAAATTTAGCAGTCCAATTCGCAGTTTCTGATAGGTTTTGATTACTAAATAAATGTATTGACTGCACGGGAATGAGATCATCCGTGTCCTTACATATCTCGGCACTTGATCTAATCTCTTTTGGTGGACTTGTTTCACAGTACTTACAGTTAATCTTTATTACGGAAGCTGACACCAACTTCCTCATATGCATCCGAAGAGCATAAGTTTGCTAATCAACACCAATTTTTATGTCACTCAGAAAATTGTTCGCCTCACAGTTATGTTTCACATTGTTTTTTTCCCAACCAGATTCACTTATAATTAATAGTGGGTAAAAGAAGGCTTTACAATCTAGGTTTCAGCTTCACTCAGTTGAAAAATTCAAGCTTCAAACTACGAATTAAAAATTTTAAAGACGAATTTAAGTTTATGAAGTCACTTCTTTGTTTACAGAACTGCTTGGACAAAATGAAACCTCTTCATCTTTTGAGAATTTAACTGTCTTCTGTTTTCTAACGTAGCTGGTGACTGTCTATGCCCTGTATGTCAAGCGTATGAAAAAGCATCAAAAAACGGCCAGCTAGTTTCTTAAAAATGTATGATTTATCATGTTAAATGTTTTCCTAATGTTTGAGGAATGAAAGTATCAAAGCAATTATTTCAGAACACTTAAAGTTGACTAATATAACAGTTCAATTTGAGCACTGTGGTACAGCATAAATTCACTATGGTCCAATTCTATTTTACCCATACTGCGAGATAGTATTATTTTCGGATGACGTCTCCAGTAGAATTTACTACTCAGATTCAAGTCAAGCTGACCACACAACTTCTCCAACTGGTTTGTGACAGATAGTTCAACTGCTTGTCATTTCTTGATTTGATTGGTGATGAAATCTTCCATATGTATGGAATTTGTGTCACGCCAATCCAGCTGCATGTTTCTAGTTTTGAGTTGGTAAACAAAGCTTCATTCGTCGACCCCTCTCTCCGCCTACGAAAGGTATTTTTCAGAATTGTCACTCAACTCCATCCTTTTGCATGATTGTTTGAGAAAGCATGCACACAAATGGCAGAGCTCATGGTTTAGGTTTTTAAAGATTAATAATGGTAGGGGGAGACAAGAATCGACAATTGAAGCTTTATTTACCAACTGAAAACTAAAAATATGCAGCTGGATTGGCGTGACACAAATTCCATACATATGGAAGATTTCA